CCTGACGCTTCAGTCACGTGACGCTCCATCTGTTCATAGTGTTTTGAGTTCACATCCCGTCTGCAGTGTTCTCCTCAGGGCGCTCTGACATCCAGACCCGGTACCATCATGTATGTGTCATCTGATAACTCCATTGTGCAATAGATAATGTTTATTTTTTTATTGTTGTTTTGTGTATCCTGTAAAACCAATGTGATGTTTTTTGATATGTAGTGTTGTGTGTTTGATATGATTATTTATGCACCCGCTCCTCTGTCCCGCCTCTGTCTGTGGAGGACGCTCACGCTCTCATTTCATTCCAGTAGCTGCACAATCGTCAAACCTCTCCCTCCCCAAATACTTTTCATGGAACATGGGGAAAGAGCCTTCATGTTTGTAAATTATCAGCAGTCTAAGCAGAACAACATCAACATAAATGTTAGCATTAAGCTAGCTGTACAATCTGAATCTTCTTTTCGCTCTCGAACATGGTGGATATTTTATTTTGATACACGCTCTTTGACTTCTGTCTGTACTGACCTCATCCTGCTTCATAGGGGAACAGATTATTGGGAGACCTGAAACTTGTTGATTTGATTTCCTTCCTCTGCCCTCCCTCCCTTGTAGGTGAAGTAATGGAAGCTGTCTTTATTAAGATGCAGAAGTAGAGTTTCATGTCTGTTATATTTGTCCTATAAAAACGGTAACAAGGAAGAAGAAGAAGAATGATGAGGAAGCACTGGAAGGTTTCCTACGGTGACACTAACAGCTGAGGAGAGAACAGATGCTAGTTTTATTTGAAACAGTGATCCTCTCTACATGGTCTGTACTGTTTACTAAAATAAACATTTCAGTTCAATGAAACTCGACTCCTGCTTGATTTGTGACTGGAACGGAGCTCAACGGTATCGGGACACATCGAAGACTTTCATATGGTAAATGGTCTTGAACTTGTTTATCTATTTTCTAGTCTTCTGAGGACTCAAAGCGCTTTTACACCGCAGGTAGCACCTACACATTTACACACTGATGGTAGAGGCTGCTGAGTAAAGAGTCCATCAGTATTAACTCATCCATTCATACACATTCACACACTGATGGTAGAGGCTGCTGAGTAAAGAGTCCATCAGTATTAACTCATCCATTCATACACATTTACACACTGATGGTAGAGGCTGCTGAGTAAAGAGTCCATCAGTATTAACTCATCCATTCATACACATTCACACACTGATGGTAGAGGCTGCTGAGTAAAGAGTCCATCAGTATTAACTCATCCATTCATACACATTCACACACTGATGGTAGAGGCTGCTGAGTAAAGAGTCCATCAGTATTAACTCATCCATTCATACACATTCACACACTGATGGTAGAGGCTGCTGAGTAAAGAGTAAACTCATCCATTCATACACATTCACAAGCCGATGATGAAGCAGTGGGAGCAACTTGGGGTTAAGTGTCTTACCCAAGGACACATCAGACAAGTGGCTGCAGGAGCTGGGCATTGAACCCTACCACTGAGCCACAGCCGTCCCAGATGTTGTAACAGAAACGCGTCGGTCTAAGTAAGTTAACACAGTTGATCTTCATACTACAAGTGTTTCTGGAGCTCTTTCAATTTTCATGAAAACATAAAAAATTCTTCCAAAGATGCAAAAGACACACTACTGTTTTCTTAGTCTTATTAAACTGAATGTGTTGATGCACATGTTAGACATGTTAAACACTCCTGGCAGAGATCTACTCTCTACTGAGGACACTTTGTAATTAAAACATTGATTTAGATATATCTATAAACACTTTCTAACAAATATACTTTGTTAGAAGTGAATGTGTCTCAGACTTCAGTACTTCTATTCTTAAGCCCTGACTTGATGATCACTGTGCTCCAATTGTAAACAGTGTCAACAAAACAAATAGAAATGATTGAACAACAAAAAAAAACACCAAAGGTAATTGGATGGATGGGGCAGCTGTGCTCAGTGGTAGTCAGTCATCAGGGGTTCAATCCCCAGCTCCTACAGTCTCATGTCCCATGTGTCCCAGGGCAAGACATGAATGTGTATGAATGGTTTTAGTTACTTCTGATGGATAGATACTTTATTGATTAACCAGAATCATCCTTTAAATGAGTGCTAAAGCTCTTTTTCTTTGTCATGTACAAAGACAGACATCTTGTTCTTGACCTTGTTCTGGACTCTAAAGCAGACTAGGCTTCTCCGTCCCTCCCAGACATCCACAATGTGCGCTGAATTATCTCCAGCTATGTTTCCCCGACACAGCTGTGCAGTGTGAAATGAATGCTGAGCAAACACAGCAGCTATTTCTTGCCGTAGCAATCTGCTATGTTAGCGAATGCTAACTATCTCCTTATGGAATAACAGGAAATTCCTCGCTAGGTTTGTGTTTATTCTATGGTAATGGAGAGGAGGAAATGAAAAGCCTATTGGCTTTTAACTGGGAATTTGGGTCAGAGAGAGAATTGGAGGATAAATGTTGGTTTTGCCTCACAAACGTT